ACGATTCGCATCTACCACTGGCTTTAATTCACTCGTACGTGTGAAATAGTGATGGGATGTGGGCATGTCCCTGTGTGCGTGAGAGACAAGCCGCAATTACGAGTATCCGTAAACAATACATCCGCATGCATCGCTCACTTTTTTCGATCAATAGTAACGAACAATAACACCAAACCAACAAACTGATTATGAAAACTATTATGAAGAACTGAAGATTATATCCGAGTAAATTACTTAACTCTTATTTTACTTAATAATACACATACGAATTCAGTTCACTCTCTTATGACAATATTTAGTTGAAATTATTACAGCAGAAGAGAAAACCACTTGGATTTTGAGTTGTAGAATACATGGCTACTTCGTCGCTGACTTTGGATTTCGATTCCAGACAACATTTGTTGTTTTTTGGGTTTACTTGTGACCCTGCATACTAGACTACATGGTATGTTATGCGTGTTACTTCGGGGATGGGTTGGGCTGACGAGCGAGTGTCTCTGTGTTAGCACATACTCTAAAAATGCGTTGTTACACCCGAAAACTAAGATAAAATGCCTCAATTCTAGTAAAAATTTTCTACGGTTCTCTACACCCACCATATGAACGCAGCAGTATTAAGCTGCCATTTTACGCCGGTATTCTGTGAGAGCGTGGTCCATCCCCGGTCAAGCCGACCAACTCCTGCTACAATCATCATATGTCAAGAGCTGGGCTGTACCACGTATACGCATATTTACCAGTTAACAAATAAGAATATTATTCTATATATGCTGTTATTTCTGCTGATGATGCCTCGTTTAGAGATACAATGTAATTTTTTATAGGATACGGGTGGCAAACGAGCACACAGTAAACCTAATGGTAAGTGGATGCTGTAACCCATAGACATTTACATTTAACCTCGATTAAAATTCAAAATGCACAAAGCACAAAGACGGAATGCTTCGATTCCAGTAAAACCAGTCTCCGGTTCTCTACACTCATCATATAAACACAGCAGCATTAAACTGCTATTTTACGCTGGTATTCTGTGAGAACGTGGTCCTTCCCCCGGTCGAGACGACCCATTCGTGCTACAACCATAATACAGCTGCCGCGTGATTCTACCACGTGTAATATATGTAATAGTACACACAACCATTGAATAAAACTATTTATACGGATTTTATCGCGTTTAGTTAACTTGTTTTCAATTCCCATCGTTTTGGGTGTTTTAAAATACCCATGGTTACGGGGGTACTGAGATGTTTGACATTCCAAAGCCATAGTTAGCCCGGCTTCCTTCAATTTTTTTAATATTACCTTTTGGTCCAATCTACGCTCACAACCATATTATCGACCGAGGGGTGTTTTTATAGAGGAGTAGTATAACGGTGTGACATGACGATATGAATATATACATTTTCTATAGTCATTATAATGATGACAGTGCATATAGTGCATACAAATTGCAGAAGGGAGGTGTTTTTCTAACTAGGTAAGAAACACCATTTTTTATTAATTCATTTTAACATCTTTTATTCCATGATTTCGCGACCTTTTCCTTGGTCTTTTTACCTAAACTTCCCTCGTTTTACCATGATTGAAATCTTTTCTAATTTTCACCCACTAGTATCTATCAATATTACGCGATTTATTAGAAGTTTTCTCCTTCGCTCGTCTTCAATCGTCTACCAACGGTGATTTTTCTGGACCGATACGACTTAGTGACCGAGCTTACTCTTTTCTTAAATGCCGACAAAGCACCGCGATTCTCCTGGAGTTTGAGTTGGGTGATGATCGATACTTACCATTAGATGAACTGCATGCTGATTTGCCAATTTGTGAAAGATTCAACCAGTTTGTGGTTAGCTTCGTTTTCTAGTGCTCAAGTCACTGTTTGCTAGTTATATAATAAGCACGCTCACGTAGTGCGATATTATTACTTGCGTGAATTGCAAGGATATTCTAAACAACTAATAAACTAAAAGTTTATAAGCTTAGCATTCTAATAGTTTATATACTAAAAGATTACTTTGGATTTTTTTTCTTATTCCTTGTTTTTCACTTACTGCATGTTAGTTAATTATTAGCTGGATCTTAATTATTCTTAAGTCGCTAGAATCTATTGTAATTGTATCACTAATAGGGAAAGACACTGGTTTCTAAGATACAGATATTACAACTAGTTTAGAAGCCAGGGTTCCATTCAAATTGTTAAAATATTTGAGGCAAATAAATAATTTATTAATTATTATTTTTATAGGGGTATCTGTATAGTTTTCTCATCTGGTTGGTTTCTATAAATATGTAATTATAAATTAAAATGAAAAGATAAATATACATAAATATCAATAAAATAAAATAAATACAAAAAATACACAAATAAATAAAGATCCAACCAGATGGAAGCCCTCGGCAGAGGAGACCAAACGGCCGAGGGTTAGGAGGAAAGGGAAAGAAACCGACGGACGATGCGGGCGGTATCGAGGACCACTGCCTTCTGCATTTGAGCCCGGAGCGGTCCGTCACGGAGTCCCAGTCGCCTCAGATGACCCGAGAGGCTGACTGGGATTAGCCCATTCGCAGAGACGACTACAGGAATAATTTCGGTCGGCCGACCACCCCACATGTCGGTCACCTCGTGAGCCAGGTCCAGATATTTTGTTCGCTTATCTGTTTCGGCTTTCACGAGGTTCTCGTCATACGGAATGGTAATGTCGACCAAAAATATCCTTGACTGTGTCCGATCCATCAGCACAATATCAGGCTTATTCGCAAGAATAGTCCTGTCTGTGATGATGGCCCGGTCCCAGTAGAGCCTGGCGCGGTCATTTTCGAGCACGGCTTCCGGCAAGTACTTGTAATACGGCAATTTCCGGTCCACGAGACCGTATTTCAGAACGAGCTCCTGGTGTAGAATTCTGGCTACTAGGTTGTGCCTGTGCAAGTACTCAGAGTTAGAAAGCGCCGAACAACCGGAGATGACATGCTTAAGTGACTCCCCGGGATGGCGACAAGCTCGACAGACGTCGAAAGTGCCATCCTTTAGGATGTATCTCCGATAGTTGTTGGTCTTAATAACCTGATCCTGTATTGCATAGACAAAACCCTCGGTTTCCCCGAAGAGGTCACCGAAACGTAGCCGTAACGTAAAACGTAAACGTAAAGTAGTTGAGGGAGGCGACTGTATCTACGAAGGGCTCATGTAGAGCCTTGTAGTACCTCCCGTGGAGCTCCTTCTCCTTCCATACGGTCTCCCGGTCGGAAATTCTAAGCACTGCTGGGTCCTGCCATTGCTCGTTGGCTAAGGATAGAGGGTTAAGCCCTTTATCACTAGAAATGACGTCGTTATAGAATGGATCATCCGATCTCGCCAAGAAGTATTGACGGAGACTGCACACTTCGCGATTATGCATGGTGAGCCCGCTCAGAAAGCCACGCCCACCATGCTTTCGCGGCAAGTACAGCCTCATTACGACGATCTCGGAATGGTGCATCCTATGGGACGTCATGGTAGTGCGGACTTTTCAATCCAGGGCGTTAAGCTCAGTCTGAGTCAACCTGAGTATGCCAAAGGTTATACATGAGGACAGGCATGACCCAGTAGTTATATGCGTGCGACTTATTCACACCGGACAAAAAGCACTTTGGTCAAGTGTGCATTAAACACGTCGCAAACTGACTGTTTTATATCAGCCTCATCGATACCGATGTTCTGTGACATACCCAGGTATCGGTATGTTTCAGCCTCGGAAAGGGTCCTTAAGTTGACGGGCATAGACAAGTCTATGCCCTCAGAGTTAGCAACCCTTCGCCTTTCAACATGGAGGACCGCACACTCATCCGTCCCCAGCTCCATTCCAATGGAATTGCTAAATTCACAAGTGATATTTAGCAGTTCCATAAAATGGGAGCGACTGGAGACGAATAACTTGAGGTCATCCACATAGAAAAGGTAGGTTACTTTTGTCCCTCCTCTCCGTAGCTGAAATCCCCTTCCGGAGCCCTCCAGTAAGGTACTGAGAGGGTTCAGAGAGAGGCAGAACCAGATTGGACTCAAACAATCGCCCTGGAAGATACCCCTTCTTATCCTTATGTGGTTCTCCGCAGCCATCATCCGCTCGCCTCAAATGACAAAGGATCGTACTCCACTGCCCCATACACTGTTCGAGGAAGTCTCTAACTGTACAGTCAATCTTGTGCAGCTCGAGGACCCTCTTTAGCCATGTATGGGGCACAGAGTCGAACGCCTTTCTGTAGTCTATCCAGGCGGCAGAGAAGTTCCGACGGTTGCGTTTCACCACTTTGCCTATGACCGCGTCAATGAGGAGTGGTTCCTTGGTTCCACGTCCACCGCCGCGACATCCATTTTGAGCGCGTGACATCACCTGGTTTAGCTCCAGGTGACGAGTGATTCTCGCGCTCAAAATGGATGTCAGTGTCTTATATATGGTGGGTAGGCACGTGATGGGGCGGTATTTGCTCGGGTCTGTGATATCCTGATCTTTAGGAACCAAGTGAGTGATCCCAGTAGTGAAGAGGCTTGGGAGCGACTTCTGGTCGAGAGCCTCTTGAAACTGTCGGGCGAGCACAGCGTGACACACTATGAACCCCTTCAGCCAGAAATGATACAGACGGTCGAGCCCCGGACTTTTCCAGTTCGGGGCCCTACGGACCGCCTCAGCCACGTCTTCGTCCACGTAACACTCGCACCCTGGCTCGCCACAACTTCCTTCAAGGGCCGCGGTAGGGCTCTGACCACAGGCCACGCCAGAATGCGATAATGTCAGCCTGATCCGGTCCTTGGCCCGCTCCACATACCTTTGGTCGCTCCAATGATTTATAGAGACTCTTCTGATCACTCTGGAAGAGACGATTCTGATTGAACCGCCTGACCTCTCGGTTAATCGTCTAATCCGCTTCGCCTAAGCAGCGATCTTTTGCTTCAGGTCGTCAAAGAGAATTGAGTCCGTCTCGCAAAGGTCCGGATGTCTTCCAAATAGGTCACCAGCATTGGGTTAAGAGACCTCACGACAGCCCGATTTCGTTTGCTTAGGGGTATGCGGGGAAGTCGCGGTCGATTTTCGAGAGGTGCTGCGCGTTTCCAAAATCGCCTCTTCCAATATACTCCTCATTTGCTCTAGTTCGTGGGAGACTATTTCATCGTCGTTCGAATCAACCACAACTGGAAGATCCATGGTAGCTTTCACGTGTGGATGCTGGTCTGTTGGATGTGGAGCTGCATTTCCAGCCATAGCCGATTCATTCGACGATGGAATAGCCTCACGTCGTAGTCGTTCGAGTTCGGCATCATCAAATATTTTCGAGCGCATTATGTATCGAACTCGGTCTGCCAGGTTTTGTTCCGTGACGGGGATAGAAGGCTCCAGCTCAGCAAAAAAGCAATACATCCGAGCCCTATACGCTATTCCCACAGTTTCTTCCCCTTTCGCCCTATAGTACGCCCGCAATGCGTTTTCTTTCATAGATTTTGTCCAACGCATGCGACGTGCTCCACCATCGGCGGGTGTCGCTTGCTGAGTCCGAGAAGACCCAGCCGACACCAAGCCTTCTGGTGGGGATGATGGATGCGAGGGGCTGCTAGGTGATCGCGCAGCTCCTCGCGCTCGGCTGGCGGCCCGCATGTTGCCGCGTCCAGTGCCAGCTCCAGACGCGCCCCGGCGACCCCCCAGGCAGCGGCCCTATGCGCGTTCCTTTCTTTGCCATCATCCATTTTAGGGGCGCCAAATAACGGGAGACGCCCAAGCCCAGCACCGTTTCGTGATTGGGTCATATGCACAAATGGACCTTTGCACCCACAATTTTGCCTAGGCACGGCGCTCACACCTCTTGGCAGGATGTTGACTGACTGCGCCGACGTAGCAGTTTTGTCACATAACTGTTACGTCAGCGGGCGATGGGGTCGTCACTTCCCTACGCCTTTATTATTATTATTATTAAAGCCCTTGTCCAAACATAACTATTATTATCAGGTAAAACTTTAATTATCAGTTGCAACTTTAAATGTTGATTTAGCAAATTACCGTTACAATCTATTAAGTTCTAATGCTGAACATAGGCCTCCCCCGTAGACGGGCGGGCGTAGGAGGGCGGATATTTGCCATAGTTGCGACGCTAAGCGGGTTGACAACCCGTTCATAATCGTTATTAGGTAGCCGTGTAGTGGCGGTTGAGAATATCCACTACCCCATATCTTCCCGTGGGTGTCGTAAGAGCCGACAGAGGGACACAGATAGGAGATGGGCAGCAGCATCTTCCTAATGACAACAATAACATAATAAAAAACTGCGGTTGCCAACCCGCTCGCAAAGCGTGGCAACTATGGCAAATATCCCCCCATGAGCAACAACACAAATAAACGGCCCCCAGTCCCCGGCGGCCCGGCGGATGTACAAGTAATCCCTATTTCAAATGTTAATATATATGTAAACTGAACAAAACCTCCCCTACAAACAGCTTCCAAACTTATACTCATAAATAACGTAAAAATCACAAACTCAGCCCATACTCAAACTCACACAGACACACACACACACATATATATATATATACATAGAAATACGTGATGACAAGATTAAACATATTTTAAGTACGTTATGAGATTTGGTATTGTTAAAGTTTATATAGAGAAGCATTGTAGGAAGCTAAAAGCTTTTGGGTAACTCATAACATAACTCGTTGGTATTTGGATTCTGCGTACCCCCCTAGAAAATACTGGAGTGTCGCATATATGTATTTATGTATGTAATATCCCATTTGTCTTATAATTAATTAAATTTTGCTTAACTGCAAATTACTATAGGTGTTAACACCGTCCTTATTACGTTTAAAAATTGAATTAATTGAGAGCCTGTATTTAATTTATACAACCATTTATACAGTTAGTTAAATCAAACAGAATTCGTTCGTTAAATATATACATTACCATACTATTTCTTTATTCAATTATAGGCTACCGCTTAATCAAAATCTCGCATGATGTTAAGTATTAATAGGGTCCGAGTGGTAGATACTATACAGTTATGCTAGTTTTTTTTTTAAAGAATAAGAGTGACAAACGAGCACATAGCCCACTTGATTGTAAGTACATGATGTGACCCAAAGATATCTAAGCGTTAGCAATTGCAGTGTTTTTTTTAATTTTGGGTTGTTATCAGGAACATGCTCCGGCCCATCTCCCGTTTCAGTTTCCCTCTATCGCCGCTTACGACACTCATTAAATGGGGTAGTGGATAGTCAGTCAGTGGATAGTTAATATCTTGTATATCAAAGAGGTAATTTTTCTGCCAACTATCGAACACCAAAAGATTTGACAATTCTCTGAGATGCCTCCTACGATAGCCATTAGTTGGTTTGTGGCAATAGATAATTAATACTGCCTTCACGCGGCGAGGCATTTTAAGAAGTGGCAGTTCTAGTAGCCTTTGTTATTAACAAAGATATTTATGTGTCAATACTTGTGCTAATAATTAAAAAATATTTTTATAAATTATCCGGGTTCCTTTTCTGGGAGTCTATCTAGGAAGGTAGAGGGTATCCAATCTTATCTTCTACTCTTATTTCTGGAACTAAGCAGCAATGCGTTCGTTGTTGTGTCCCGCACTGAAGGCTACAGAGAGCCAGTATAATTACAGGATGTGAGGGATTCCATCTTATTGCTCAGAAGTGAAAACGTCTCCTTCGTTTGAACATGGTTGCGGGTATTCTTGGACTACTGCAGTTCTAGCAGTCATTTGTCATCAGGTGGACTGTAATTTCGTTTGTGGCTTAAGTTTTATAAAAGTAAATATAGATTTTTTTATTAATTTATTCAATATACTCTTAGTGAAGTTGGTATTAATATAGTGGAAGGTATAAATTAAATATTGTTATCTTGTCTTCCAGAGACATTTATTAAAATAATGCCTCGTATTAGATGTCCATAATGCTACAGGCGCTTTGTTAATTCACAATTTTAGGATTACTCTTATTCTGTAATATTCAGTTCGGAGAACGACAAAGAATAAAAATGAATTATGAATGATATTACATTATAACCAATGAAATGGGCTCTTTTAGATAGATGAATAAAATAATCCTTCAAAGCAAACCGTGTTTCATTAAAACTTTTCGTATTCTGATTCACATTCCGACTGGAAGTCTCTGCAAACGTGATTTAGCATATTTTTCAAACATTACATTATTTAACTACTTTTGTTATAAAACTCTGTTTACGTGTCTCCCTGTTGATGTGATTGAAATTCGAAAAATTTGTGACAGAAAAATACCTTATTTAAAAACCGTTTGCATTGACTTTGGAATACTCACACTCGCATATTTACGAGGACGCAATGTATCCTGTCTTTACTGTGACTAATAAGTGAACCAAAGAAAACACGACCGTCTTTGCAACTACTTCCTCTTTTTCTGTGCTTTTTTTTTAATTAATTGTTATATGCCTTTTCAGGAATATGCCAAATCCATACATATAAATTGAATATTCAGAAAATCCAAAAGTGCACACCTTATAACTTTGTTATGTTAAAAATTAAAGTTAAAGCGGATGAAAATAGTGACGATAATTTATACAAGAAAAAAAAACAGAGTTTCTGATCGACTTTCATTAATGACCATTAAACGGTGTTCAGTTCAATAACAAAATCAATAGGGATCCTCCTTAGAATATATGGAATCTTATTTAATACTACGTAACATCTCAATCTATTGCTTACATTTCTGTTAAGTGAGGAGACTCACCGACGCACACACCAAAGAACGGCAGTTCATATATTTTTTAAATTATTTTTTTGTCATATAATCTTAAGTGAATAAATTCGAAAATGAACCAATTTTATAGCTCAATGTCTGTAGTTATTGTTACATTAATAATAATATAGATTTAATGTCTAGCTGAGAGTATACCTAGGCTGCACTAAAAATATCGGGAATGGAATATTTCCACTGTTCCTGTCATATTAAAATCTTTTTAATTGAAAACTCCTTGGTTTTAAAAATCAAATACCATTTATTTATTCAAAAAAAAGATTCTCAGTCTTGTCACAAAGTTTTGTCGAACTTGTTTAGTCGTTGTGAAAATGGAATTGACTCGAGAAAATTCAAGAGCGATGATTTATTATGACTTTCGAAGTGGTTTAACACAAAACAGTGTGTTGACCGGATGATTTCTGCATTTGGTGATGAAGCCCCATCCAAAACTACAATATATCGCTGGTTTGCTGAATTTCAACGTGGACGTGTCAAGCTCGGTGATGATCCCCGTCGAGGTCGTCCAAAAACTGCAGTCACCCAAGAAAACGTTGATGCTGTGCGTAAGCTGATTGAGGAAGATCGACATGTGACATACCGCGAAACTTAGAGAACTTTAGACATTGGCATAAGTCAAATACAAATAATCTTGCATGAACAATTAGGTGTAAAAAAGTTTTTTTCCCGATGGATACCGCATTTGCGGTTTTCAGGATTTCTGAATCCCCTCTGAAAACTCTCGAAAGATTCCACGCAGGATCGTATCAGGTGACGAATCCTGGATATACGCGTACGATCCCGAAACAAAAAATCAGTCACGAGTTTAGGTGTTCGAAAATGAGTTAAAGCCAACAAAAATTGTTCGTTCACGGAGTGTTGCAAAAAAAATGGTGGCCACGTTTTCTCCAAAACCTGCCATATTACGACTATTCCTCTTGGGGGACAAAGAACGGTTAATGCAGATTGGTATGCTAGCATTTGTTTGCCACAGGTCGTTTCTGAACTCCGTAAAGAGAACTGCAACCGCCGCATTATCCTCCATCACGACAATGCGAGTTTTCACACCGCACACAGAACAAAAGAGTTTTAGAACAAGAAAACATAGAATTATTAGACCATCCACCGTACAGCCCCGACCTAAGCCCTAATGATATCTATACTTTCCCTAAAATAAAGAATAAATTTCGTGGACAGAGATTTTCATCACCTGAAGAAGCTGTGGACGCCTAAAAAACGGCCATTTTGGAGACCCCAACTTCCGAATGGAATTGTTGCTTCAATGATTGGTTTCCATCGTATGGAAAAATGTGTCAAATTTCGCGGAAAATACTTCGAAAAGCATTAAATACATTTTTAAATGGTAATTTTGTGTCACTTCCTTGATTCCCGAAATTTTCAGTGCTCGTAAGAACGATATCCCTCACGTTGTGAGGTTGTTGAATTGAAGTAATTGGCTTCTATTAAGCGCAGACGGTTATTTGTTAAGTAACCATTTTTCAAGAGTTTGTCTGTCTTTCTGTTCCGGCTATTCCACAGAATAACTGAACAGATTATTTTATTCAAAACCCTTGAATATTATCAAAAAAAGATAAGTACGAAAAATCACTTTTGATTATCTTGAATCTAAATAATGCCATTATAATAAATCTTACCCACGCGGAGCCGGGGCGGGTCACTAGTCTTTCAATAAATGTCGCTCCGCAGTGCCGTGACTAAGCATTCGGTCCGAGCATGAGGG